CGGAGCAGACACTGCGGTACAGACGGGGGCAGCGGCGGCGGCGGCGGCTGCACCGGCGGCGGCGGCACCACACAAACAAGGACGCTGATTGGGCAGCTGCCAAGCGCCTCGGCTCCGCCTTACTCACACGCCACGACGCCCATTGGACAACCTGAGCCGGCCACCCCGCCCTCCTCTTCGTAGATCTACCAATAAAAGCCAGGATGCTGAGGCTTCGCCCCACCCTTGAACAGTGAGTGGTAGGAGAAGTGACAATTGGCGCATTGAAGACCCAATCCTAAACGGAGGAGGGGGATGGTCTAGCGGGGGCGCGCTAATGGGTACCTCAGCCAGTCCCAGACACATCCGGGTCTTCGACAACCCATTAAGTGTCGGGGGTCAAAAAATCGCTTCAGGCTGCAACTTTACCTTAGAGACGTTTTGGTCCCCAGGCAGCCGCCGTACCCCAGGCTCCCAAATCCGGGATTCCCCTTTGGTCAGCTTTCATTCTTTCAGTTCTAAAGATGGAGCCTCTCGAACGGCGGTGTGCTCTGCGGTGGGCGGTGTTTCATCGCGACAGGGTCCAGGGATTTCACGATAGAACTAGCTTGGCCTTAGGCGCTCGGGCCTTGCTCTCTATTTGGGGCGTGGCCTGTCTTCGTGTGCCCCAGGCCTTGGACTTCCTGGTGTCCGTCCCCCGCTGCACAGTCCGGTCTTGGCCAAATCACAAGAGCAGAGAAAAGGCACCCAGCGAAATTCAGTGAGAGTCTATGGTGCTCAGGGCCCGCGCAGCGCCCTGTCTCGGTCTGGCCGGGTGTACAGCCCACCATGTCCCACCTGATCGACTCTAGGCCCAGCTTCTACCAGCCTTCCGCCCTCCTCGAGCGCGAGCCCCTCCTAAACTCTCTGGTGTCCGCACGGCTCGTCACAAGTACTGTTCTTGAGCACCTTAAGGACAGGAACCGAGTATCACAGAATCAGTATGTTGAGGGCATGTTCAGTGTTTGAAAACTAACGTTTTGGGGAAGGAGCTGTATGCCCAGACACTGGATTATCTGGTTTATTCCTCATAAATTTGTGAGGCAGGTACTGTTATCTCTGTTTTACAGATGAACAAATGAGGTGCAGAACCAATGACATTTTCAAAGTAACACACGTTGAGTAACAAACGTTTGAACCCAGGTATGAGAGAAAACAGGCTCAGGCTGGGCGTGGTGGCGCGCGCCTGTGATCCCAGCACTCAGAAGGCTGAGGCAGGAGGGTCGCTGTGAGTTTAAGGCGAGCCTGGACTACACAGTGAGACCCTGTCTCAAAAAAGAGAGAAGGGGGCCGGGGATATAGCTCAATGGCATAAGTGCTTGCCTGGCAAGCACAGGGTCCTAAGTTCGATTCCCGGTACCAAAAAACAAGAGAGGAGAGAGAGAGAAGCAGCCTCAGAAAGTTTAAGTCGTTTGCCAAGGTCAGACAGCTAGTTGTCAAGCAGTGGTTTGAACCTAGAAATACATAACTGAAAAAAAATACATTACTGGTTTCAGAAGCACTAGAACATACAGTATTTTCAAATGATTTAGAAGTCATGCTGTGTTGGGGCTGGGGATTTAGCTCAGCGGCAAAAGCGCCTGCCTGGCAAGCGCAAGGTCGTGAGTTCGGTTCCCGGTACCAGAGAAAAACCAAAAAA